CGGTCTCTATTGTGGAGCCCTGTGGTACCACAGATTTAATTCCACTCCTGTACACTGTCACTCACACCCACTCTGCCTCATTCAACTGTAACCAACACCTCATTCACCGCGTCCACCGCTCTAACTCACTCTGATGTGTGAGCGTGGAAGCCTTATATTCCTTCTGGCAGAAAGAGAATGTTCTGTCATCAATCATAGGCTGAGAGTGCCAGCCAAGAGTAATGTTTTACTGTCAAAGCCATTTGGGGTATTAGGCTAATAGAATGAGTTTCATTGTACTTCCTAGAACACACTTTGCTCTTGGTAAGTGTTGATTGCTTTGCACCTGCAGATGATATGTGACACGCATTACATTTACCCTGAACCGTTGATTTATTCCCAGTTGGGGTCAGTAGGCTATTTCTGTGTGGTACAAACGTTTGTATTATTATGAGAGTTGAGGTTATTTTGGCCGACGGGCAGACGTGGCAGCTGTTGACCGATTTGGTGTGAGCAAATAAAGGATGCTGTCTGTCTTGCAGTCTGTGACTGGGAAATGATGCGAGTTTGGGTTTTGTTAAACTGCTGCGTGAATTTAACATATCATTCTGCAGTCGCATGACTGGATGGTGTAGTCTTCATTTTTAAGTATATTCTAAATTATAAATATGGTAACGTCCCGGTTCACCAGAGAGAGTCCCGGTTTCATGACGTACTGTATGTCCTGACTATTCACTAGAAATGTAAATATGTCAAAGTTTCATCTGCTAGGATCAATAATTTACAATTAAGGGGAGACACTGCAGGCAAAACACAATTTTTTCATGCACCTGTCAATTTTGAGATTTTGGGCTTTTTGGCTTTTCATAAAGTGTTGATAAAGACTAGTGGAAAGAAAACATCCAAAAGACACTGTTAAGTGCTTATTTCATAGCACTTTATCTATATGTGTCAATAGATTTCAATTACAATACATATTTTTAAAGGCCGTTTTCTCAAAATGAGTTTTTTTCTCCTACACTGAGCCATAAATCTCCACTTCAGTAGCACTTACACACACCAAACTTTACATTTTTATTCCTGTCTATATTCTGAAGATTAAAAAAATTAAACAAGAATTTTGAAACTGACTTCATCCAGTGTTCAGATTTTTGTACTAGGAATTTATGCAAATTAGTGCATATTTCATTAAATAATGCATCATTTGCATATTGAAACATAACATTTTAGAAAACTTGTAATACAAAAAATGTTTGCAATTATCAATGTAATCAATCAACTGGGTAAGTAAGGTGATAACTATTAGTTAATATTTTTACCCTATTCACCTGCAGTGTCTCGCCTTAAAGGGATAGTTCATCCAAAAATGTCAAATCTGTCAATTACATGCTGATGTTACACTGAAAAAATTTTACAGGCATCACAGTTTCCCAAAAATATTAAGCAGCACAACTGTTGAACTTTAATAATAAATGTTTCTTGAGCAGCAAATCAGCATATTAGAATGATTTCTGACGGCTTACATGCAATTGAAGACTGAGTAATGATGCTGAAAATTCAGCTTTGCCATCATAGGAATAAATGAATTTTTTTTTATTGATTTTTTTACTGATTTTGAATGGTAGTGTACAAAGACCATTAAATATGGCATGTAACGTGTGAGAACTGTAAGGTCCATGCACTTGGCCCAAGGAAGGTATCTAGTGGTGGATGAAGGTTTCTTGCATGTTCGGTCTTTTCAGCGCGCAAAGTTATTCAATTTAGGTTTAACTCAAATCTGACTCCATTTTATTATCTAATCTGACTCCATTTTAGTATGACTCTCGAATTTAGGTTGAAAGGCAAATTTGTTGTTTGTCTGTCTCTAATTATTGCTATTATTCTGACATTTGGTTATTCTAGTTAACTCTTTACTTTATATTTACTCGTTCATTAGGAATCTATGTCGCTCAGGGTGCCTCACGGCGGCCGCTCTACGTGGGCCCCACGATCACACACACGCCAGTCTGATCATTAGCCAGAGGTTTATGACTAATACTATTTAATAGGTTACCCATGCTTACCATTCTTTAAATAGTAGTTCTGTTTAGCCCCCTACAGTTACCCATGTAAAACTTAATTAATGCTCAAAACAATAATCAGCGGTTATGCTAGTACTATTTGCCTAGCCCCCGATAGTTAATATAACTACGTACAACTTTATTAACACTTAAAACATTAATCAGCGGTTCTGCTAGACCCTTTGTCTAGCCCCCGATAGTTAATATAACTACGTACAACTTAATTAAAGTTGAGACAATAACCAGTGGTTATGACCAGTACTATGACTAGCCCCCATAGTTAACGCAACTGAGTACAACTTAACTAGGTCAAGCAGTTAGTCAGAAATCTATAATCTCACCTGATGCGCGCCATGCTTCATCTAACCTGAGATCTAGTATGCACTTAACCCTGGACGCAGATTTGCGGAAACATACGCTTTCACTTAATCTACTTGAGAAAATAATTTCAGAGTAAGTCAGAATAAATCAAATGTAACAATTTATTATCAGTCAGGTAACTGTATTATGCCAATTACATAGCCAACTCAAAGATATCAAATCAATACAAGACATAAAATTCTCAAAGACGAATCTAAGAGTAAGATGCATACCTGACCTTTTAGAAAATACATAGTACAAAGTGTGTGGAGACACTCCATACTACGGGCTCTCTGACTACAGAATGGGAACAGAAGGTAATTTACATGGAAGACCCTGGGAGAGGGCACTCCCATTACAGTAAGCAAAATATCTCTTAACTCTTAGGATCTGTATTATCTTTTAGTCTACTTTTGTAAGAGTGAGACCATTGTACCACTCACCCTGAGACTATTCAAATGATATCAAACATGACTGTAAATATTATTTGCATTGATGTAGAACATTATACTATTGACCATTCTGAGTGAACCAAGTGGAGGGAGGATGGGTAAGGGGAGGGAAGGGGATGAAAAGGAATTGATGCATATGTGAGAAAGGCGTTTCCTGCACCTCCACTCTGTGGGGTGTCTCGAAGATGCCTGTGTATGTTTGTATTGTCTGTTTCTCAGGAGATCAAAGTATCTGAGTTTCTTTCATCCTTACACCACCCTGAAAGACCTACCTGTGAGATAGGATTCAAATCAATGAAATGCAGTTCTTGTGATGCCCAGTGAAGAGGGGGTGTACAGGAGGATCTGATGATTTACAGTGTCAAAAGCGGCAGATAGATCCAGCGGAATGAGAACACATGATCTGGAATCAGCTTTCGCAATCCGCAGGGCTTCAGTGACCGACAGTAACACAGTCACAGTTGAATGGCTGCTTCTGAAACCTCATTGGTTAATGTCCAGCTGGTTATGCTGTTAAATAAATAATGATACCTGGTTGAAAACAACTCATTCAAGTGTTTTCGATAAGAATGGAAGAAGAGAGACAGGTTTGTAGCAATCTACAAGTGAAGTGTTTAATGCAGTTTTTTTGTATCAGAGTTTCTTTAATCCTTACAGAACCAATGAGGCAGACATTAGATGATGTTTGATATATCAGTCTTATGGATTCATTTCATGAATCCTCTATATCCTTTTTAGAGCTTGAAAGTTTTAGACTCTATTGACTTCCTTAATATGGACAAAAACAGCTGAAACGTGATCCAAAATATCTTTCCAGCTACCTTCTCCGATATTGGTTGTGGTTCTCAACCAGATGGCACTGAAGGGAGAAAAAGCTGTTTTTTTTTTTAAATGATGTTTTATTTAAGTAGCACTTTTCAAAATATGTATTGTTTTAAAGTTGCTTTAAAGAAATAATAGACATGATGTTTGCTATTTTAATACTTTCAGCAAATCAGTTTGCAAGAACAGTTGTCATAATAATTTCACGCACTGGCTGCTGCTCCCATTCATACTCTCAATGCAGGCAGATTGTCATGTTAGCAAGCTGGAGCAATGCCCAAAAACACGGGGAATTACATTTTATGATTTTTGATTTTAGTATGGTGATTTAACTTGTATTATTAAAAAATTTGTAAAAAAATTATTCAATGAAATATGTTAAGTTGTTACTATGAATTCCCACGTGAACATTAAAATCAGAAAAATATAGAAATGACAGAATGTAATAACAGAAAAAATATATTTTTTTGTTATTTACTGTATATTTTGATTCTGTTCAGAAAGTGGGAAACTGAATAAAATGTGGCAGGCTCCAGAAGATGTCTAAAACACTAGGCATAAACTAATCTAATATATAAGACATATACAGTAATACATTTAAGGCATTTACTGACATTTTGAGAAAATCTTTTAAAACTGCTGTCATTCCTCTACTACTTTTTTTTTTTTTTTCATTTCAAGGGTGGGTGTTTTTCCTCGCCCTGTATTTTCTGATTTGAAAGTTAAAAAGTTGGTCTATTTATAAATTGTATACAGTATCATGTAAACATCTTTTTTTGCCATGACAGATCCTTTGTGAAGCAGATGAAAAATCATAATGAATTCCTAAATATCCAGTTCAGGCCTTATTAACATTGAAGTAATTAAATTCTTCATTTAAGAAAGAATTCTGAATAGCGCAAGCACATTTGCATTTTGTTTTCAGTAAAACTAGGCAGCAGGGGAAAAAACTGTGCTGTGATTTAACAAGGTCTTTGTTAGTTTATTCCACAGATGTATCTGAGTGCCATTCGGCTCTTTGTATGCCAAACAAAAGATTATCAGTGCGAGACCAAGCTTCAGAACTGCACTGGAGGCCCATCAGAATGCATTATGAGGGCTTTCACTTCCTACATTTCCTTTTGGTTCCAAACAGAAATATAAAGATGGCTGTTTTATAAGAAAATGTGCTTAATGTGGGGAGACATTAATGAGTCAGAGTGATAATAATGAGCTCCAGACATTTATGTATGTGATACATCTTAAAACATGCTTATCAAATCAGTTCCTAAATGAATAATTCTGATTTACCATTTACTATTGTCTCTTTTTACATTTCTTAATGCAGCATGTCCATTTGGGTCCTTCAAAGCATCTCAAGGGGACCAGCAGTGTCTCCAGTGTCCCATCAACAGCCGCACTACCAGCGAGGGTGCAACCAACTGTGTATGCCGCAGTGGATACTACCGTGCAGACTCTGACCCTCTACAGATGCCCTGTACCAGTATGTCATTCTCTTATGCTATTTTATGCCATTTATGGTGTTTTTTTTGACTCTCTTTTTTGAAAATCAGACAGGCTTTGATGTGGTCCACACAAACATCTAGTCAATTTTGATTATCTTCAACGCACTCAGAAATAGGATTTTCTCAGTACAGATGGTAAGAAATAAGGATGCACGATGCTCCATATTGGTTATGGTTATCGGCTGATATTAGTGTTTTTTTAATTATGAGTACTTGCTGGTAATAAGAGTTTTTCCTCGCCCTGTATTTTCTGATTTGAAAGTTAAAAAGTTGGTCTATTTATAAATTGTATACAGTATCATGTAAACATCTTTTTTTGCCATGACAGATCCTTTGTGAAGCAGATGAAAAATCATAATGAATTCCTAAATATCCAGTTCAGGCCTTATTAACATTGAAGTAATTAAATTCTTCATTTAAGAAAGAATTCTGAATAGCGCAAGCACATTTGCATTTTGTTTTCAGTAAAACTAGGCAGCAGGGGAAAAAACTGTGCTGTGATTTAACAAGGTCTTTGTTAGTTTATTCCACAGATGTATCTGAGTGCCATTCGGCTCTTTGTATGCCAAACAAAAGATTATCAGTGCGAGACCAAGCTTCAGAACTGCACAGGAGGCCCATCAGAAGACATGATGAGGGCTTTCACTTCCTACTTTTCTCTTTGATTCCAGACAGAAATATGAAGATGGCTGTTTTATAAGAAAATGTGCTTAATGTGGGGAGACATTAATGAGTCAGAGTGATAATAATGAGCTCCAGACATTTATGTATGTGATACATCTTAAAACATGCTTATCAAATCAGTTCCTAAATGAATAATTCTGATTTACCATTTACTATTGTCTCTTTTTACATTTCTTAATGCAGCATGTCCATTTGGGTCCTTCAAAGCATCTCAAGGGGACCAGCAGTGTCTCCAGTGTCCCATCAACAGCCGCACTACCAGCGAGGGTGCAACCAACTGTGTATGCCGCAGTGGATACTACCGTGCAGACTCTGACCCTCTACAGATGCCCTGTACCAGTATGTCATTCTCTTATGCTATTTTATGCCATTTATGGTGTTTTTTTTGACTCTCTTTTTTGAAAATCAGACAGGCTTTGATGTGGTCCACACAAACATCTAGTCAATTTTGATTATCTTCAACGCACTCAGAAATAGGATTTTCTCAGTACAGATGGTAAGAAATAAGGATGCACGATGCTCCATATTGGTTATGGTTATCGGCTGATATTAGTGTTTTTTTAATTATGAGTACTTGCTGGTAATAAGATTTATTATTTGTTCATTAATATTTAATTGTGCTGCTCATTTACTGTAACACTCTAACACTCAATTCATGTTAATCTTTAAAAAAAAAATTTAATTTAATAGTAAATCTCAACATGTTTATCTTTTTTTTCATATGCTATGTTATGTTCAACTGTAAGATTTAAATAGATTAATTTTATTTTTTACATAATAATATAGAAATTGAATATCCAAAATGTATTGATTATAGTATATAAAATGAAAATAATTATCAACTTAGCAGACAGAAGTTTATTATTGGTGCACTTCTAGTAATGAAAAAAGTAAGAGCAATGAATTATATTATTTTACTAAAGCTACTATTTAATAATAATAATAATAATAATTTGAACACTGATATTGTTATTATTATTAATAAACTATATTTAAAAAAAGTGTTGTAATGACAACAACAACAATAAAATATGATTGCTGTTATTAAATTCTTTTATAATTAAATAATAATAGTAATATATCATGACGTAATAGACCTCAGCAATTTATTAAGCTACAATTTACACTGCAAGACATTCTGTCAAAATGTTTATCATTTTTTTCATACGGTATGTTGTGATTCAGCTGTATCATTAAATAGTTTAATTTTATTTTTACATAATAATATAGAGTTTTAATATCCAAAATGTATTGATCATAGTATATAAAATGAAAATGATTATCAACTTATCAAACAAAAGTTTGTTATTGGTGCACTTCTAGTAATGGAAAAAGTAAGAGCAGTGAATTTTATTAAAGTTATTATTTAATAATAATAATTTAAACACTAATATTGTTACTATTAATAATAAATTATATTTTAAAAAGTTATGTAATAACAATAACAACAATATGTTGTTACTGTTGTTATTAAATTCTTTAATAAGTAAATTAAAATAATATATCATGACAAAATAGATTCTAAGCAGTTTATTAAGCTACAATTTACCTTCAAGTCATTCTGTAATGCACCGGTTCAAATACACATATGAAAATTAAAAGAAGTTTTAGAATTGAGTTGATACTGTACAAAACTGCTGTTGCAGTAAACTGCTTCAGTCACAAAGTACCGGTCATTTTGACATCCCTACTTAGAAACATAATTTATGTCAGCACTGGAGACTTGTATTGTACACATTCTTGAAGTCTTTTGTCTTTTCATTTTTCCATGAGGTTGCCCTTTTTAGAGCTTCAGTTAAGTGCAGCAAAAAGAAAATGAGTGTGCAACTCACTGAACATTCATTTAGTGCTGTAACTCAGTGAGCAGCGAGATTGGCCCGATGGGATTTGCATAATGCTCTGTTCTTTTGGGGAGGCTGGGCCTGTGTGAATGCTGGAGTAGTGCTCTACGCTGTCAGTAACCTGAACTGCTGCACTGTGTCCAGAATAGAGGGAGGAGAACATTCTTCCCTTTCACTCTTGTTTTACATTACAATGAACCACTTCTCTTTTCATCTCTTGTCATTACCCATTATGAAATTATTACTTTAATGTGGCTTGTTAGAAAGCGGAGATTACTTTGATCCAGTTTCTTTTTTTAAAAGAGCAGTGATAATAGGCTAATGAATAAGTGAAAATCAGATCATAAAGACACAAGACGAAGCAGTTAGACTGTGCTCGAGTCAGCAGCCCAGCAGATTATGAGGGGAAAAAAAGCCACGCGTAAAGTTACTTTACATCACAAAGGCCTAATTTAGGGACAATTTAGGTGGGATATTGTTGTGACTTGATGATGAGATTCAATTTTATGACTAATTCAAAGGGGGTCACTAGGGCTGCATGATATTGGAAAAAACTCACATTGCAATATTTTGTTTTTCTGCGATACATATATTGCGATATGAAAAAAAAAATCACCAGATGACTTGAATATCTCTATTTGGAAAAAAAAAATCAATGATTGGGGTGATTTTGTAGGTGAGTAAATCAGTATAGAAAATAAACTAATTACGAGCATAGATAAATATAATAGAACAAAGATGCAAATGAAATTAACAGTGCTTTACATTTTTCAGGTAAGTCTAACAGTATTCAGGTACAGAAATTGAATAATCACATGTAAAATAACACTGCAAAGTCTTCACTGTATAAATTAAATCTAATAAATCTGTGTTAAAGCTACAAAATTTTCTCACACATCCATTTTCTTTCTCAGTTGTTTACCTTCACCTAAGCCATAAGTAACTGTTTACAAGGATACTTGCAGAGACATGCATTTTGACATAATTTCGCACAAATAGACGTGGAAGTGAACGGAATTAAGTGTTCACGTGCATCTGCGTGGCTCTCACCGTGTCTACACCGGATACGAG